ATGGCGTTATGGCACGATTCTGGATCGTCAAGACGCAGCAGTCAGGTTGATACGTGGCGTTTTAATCCCGAGAACAATGTTTTGCCACGCTTCAGGATCTTACAACAATTGTCGTCCAACGACGCAGTCCCCCAAATGGCATGAACCGCTTTAGGGGCCTATGAAGAGGGAGCTTGGAGTGAGGGTTAATCCCACCAGGCCTCTGGGCGTAGGTGGTTTAAGGAGTTTCCTCTTCCATCTTCCCTTCTTCCCCGTCGGGGAGGGGTTTACCCCTCCCCCTAACCCCCTCCCCTGGACGTGGACGGGGGGGGTCGCTGGTAGTTGGGGCGTCCACAACGGCCTCGGCGAGGAAGCCACAATCATAGGTTTTACTATGGTGTTGGCTGATTTAAAAGGCTCCCGAGGGGGGAGGCTAATTGGGGGACCCCCTTCCTTTGATCGATCACCTCCAAGATGACCCCAAGAGCGCTGCCAAGGCTCCCAAGAACGCCCCAAGAGGGCCTCGAGAGGCGCCCAGGAGGCCCCAAGAGGTCCCCAAGAGGCCCTGAAGAGGCTCCCTAGACCCCCAAGAAGCCTCAAGAGGATCCCCGAGGCATCCAAGAATCCCCCAGGCGCCCCGAGAGGACCCCAAAACAACTTCCAAGGGACATCCTAGGAGGCTCTTGTGCACGTCATTGGTCTCGTTCCTTATCATATTTCTCATCCTCCTCCTCTTCCTCTTCCTCCTCCTCCTCCTCCTCCTCCTCCTCTTCCTCCTCTCCCTCCCTCCTCCTCCTCCTCCTCCTCCTCCTACTCCTCCTCCTCCACTCTTCCTCCTCCTCCTCCTCCTCCTCCTCCTCCTCCTCCTCCTCCTCCTCCTCCATCCCGCCTCCCCCTCCGACTCCTCCTCCATCCTCCTCCGACTCCTCCTCCATCCTCGCCCTCTTGGGTAAGACGGGTCCCCCAGCCCTTTGCTACTCTGTATGCCCCCTCACTTCCCTGATCACCGCAATTCGCCTGGGCAACGTGTTTGGATGGGTTGGTGTGGATACTTATTTTGATCTGCGGCCCGCAAAGAAGAGTCCAGAGGGCGTGTCAATCGGGCTGACTGGGGCACAACGCCAGATAATTTGCGAACTCAGCTCTCACTGTCGACAGACGACCGCACTTGCAACGCGCAGAACAACTTGGGGAAAACGGGCAGACGGAGGCAACACGCCTAAGAGAAGTAGAGATGCAGAGCGCCTGTCGAGAGCCAGCCGCACGAACGACGTGGCGCTAGCACCAGGAGGCTGTGCGCAGGCAGGGCGGTCGGGAAGAAAGAGGGGGGGAAAAGACAGATGCCTCATTCACGGAGCACCAGGTGCTCGCCAACGAGCCGTCCCTGACCCAATCAATGGTGGACAGGCCGTGAATCCCGAGTGGCAACCAACACCAGCAACGACAGGGATGAACGTCGCGCAGGGGCCACGTCACAACCACCAGTGCTCAGTGTCTCGCCAGGGGGGAACAGCGGGTAGGAGTGCAGCTGGTGGGGAAACGTTTTTTATTTGCGGCCCGCAAGGAAAGTCCAGAGGGCGTGTCACTAGGCAATGGGGCGCAATGCCAGAAGATTAGGGATGCCCTGGTGGGGAAACGCGAAGCGTCAAGAATTCCAACATCGTTGATAACTCTTGGGTTTCCACTGGTCCTCCCCCTCCTCCTTCTCCTCCCCCTCCTCCTTCTCCTCTTCCGCCTCCTCCTCCTCCTCCTCCTCCTCCTCCTCCTCCTCCTCCTCCTCCTCCTCCTCCTCCTCCTCCCCCCCTCTCACCCTCCCCCTCCCCATCTCCCTCCCTCTCCTCCTCTCCCTCCTCCTCCTCCTCCTTCACAAATACGGAATATGAATACTTATCTCCTCCCTCCCCTGGTGGCGTCCGGGAAATGTCCGGCCCCCCCCCTCGGCGTGCTGCATTTTTACACAGCAGGACTCCCGAGAGTTGCGTTTTCGCTTGGGCTGTTGTTAAAAATACTGCTCTCGCTGAAGCGCTGGCCTCATTTTCGTGCTACCGTTCGTTCCGAATCGCGCTCCGACTGCAGCGCTGGCCTCATTTCCACGGTTTCGTTCGTTCCGAGTCGTGCTCCCACTGCAGCGCTGGCGTCATTATTTCCAGCGCCATTCCACGGCATGGTCTTCTGGTCCTTCCAAGTAGGCTCCAAAAACTAGAACACGCCCCCCCCCGAAACAACCATCGGAAGTGATTACACAGTCGGTGTCGGTTCGTTGATTTGGGGGGTCGCAGAAGCCACCCCCCTTTCGAGCGTCGCCACGCCATGCTATGTCAAGCTACGCGTCCTCCAAATCGTGATGCCGCTGCAGCGCTGGCCTCATTTCCGCGCTTCCGCTCGTTCCGATTCGTGCTCCCGCTGCAGCGCTGGCGTCATTATTGCCAGCGCCATGCCACGGCATGGTTTCCGAAAATGCCCCCCCCCCGAAACAACCATCGGAAGTGCATTCAGTGTCGACTCTTTGATTTTTTGGGCCGCAGAAGCCCCCCCCCACTTTGTGGCGTCGCCACGCCATGCTGTGTCAGGATACACGTTGATCTTCAACACCATGTAATGCTATGTTCTGCTACGACATCCGGCCGTGCGAATAGAGAGGAGATCTACGCCATGGTAAGGGATGGGAGGGAGGGTTAGGACGTCAGATATGACGCGAGCGCACCTATCTTGCCCTCCTCCCCTCCCCCATCCCCCTCCTCCTCAGCAGCAGCATCAGCAGCATCATCTTTTTCCTCATCCTCATGATCCTTCTCCAAACCCTCCTCCCCCTCCCGCGAGTCGAGTCTTCCGTTCGACCATGCTTCCCCCCTGGATCTTGACGGCCCAGGCTGCCGACTGCCGAGGATTACACGGCCATCCCTCCACCCACTTGGTCAAGCTTCGGGTTGCGCACAGATAGTCCCCAGTGCGGTGTCCAACTTGGGGGACTAACAGGAAAACACCGATGCCGCTGGATGTGCAGAGCCACGTTTGCTGCTTAACGGCCTCGCTGGCCGCTGCCGACCGCTGAGCTTGAAGCTGATCGCGCCGCGCAGGCCTGGCAGAGACGACCCCGAGCGCCCGGGCAAAAGATGTGTCGGAGACGCCTTGCCCGGGGCCGCCGGCTCCCGGCAGTCTGTGCTGCGCGGCGACGAAGGGGGAGAAAGGCAGACGGAGGCAAACGCGCAGGCGGGAGACCAGGGCCGGCGGGACGAAGCAGGCGGGCGGGCAGGCAGGAAGGGACAGAGGGAGACAGCAAGCAGGGAGCAAGGGTGGAGAAGGCGAGGGAGAGGAGGGACGGGAGACGAGGAGCAATCGCAAGCAGACGGGCCAGAACAAGGTCCGGGAAAGAAGGGCCACCCGCGACAAGGCTACGGACACTAAGGCGGCAACACTGATGCTGGAGTGGGTGGCGGCTGTCGGGTTCGTCGTCGGGGTCGTCGTGATGGAGTGGGGCTGGGCGAAGGGCAGGGCGTGAGGCAGGGCGTTCCCTCCTGCGCGCGGTGCTTGAGGGCTTCAAAACAATTCGACTGTCGGACCTGGCGCGAAGACCACGGAACTGTTCCACATCCTTTAGTGTGTGTGTGTATAGTTCGCGACATCGCAAAGCACACCTGGCAACCAAACGTCTAAACATCACCGAAGTGCACCGGGCAAGCTGCTAAAAAAAACTGGGCCAAACTGAAGGGTTACATCCTATTGTGAAGTCAAACCAGACTTGCGATTCGCGTGCAGCGCCGTGTGGGGGGGGGGGGGGGGGCTACACAGTGGTGGTGTCCTGGCAGATCTCCTCCTGCCAAAGAACTCGCGTGCAACGCCGTGGCGCGCGTACATAAATTCGCATAGCAACGGCGGGTGCTCTGTTACCACGTTGAAAAATTCGTCGAATGGCAAGCAATTCGGGTCTCACGGCCACGGATCCATATCTCAGACACGCGCATGCAAGCTTGGCGTTGTAGGCAAGTATGTGATGAACCTGTTCCACCCCGTCTAGTGAGGTTGCTGCGGCTCGGCGGTGAATCAATATGCGTCTCCCACGCTGGCGCTGCACGACCTCAGCTCACGGCAGCCTACCACCAGACGACTGTTTGATGTATCACGTGCGTCGCGTGACCTGTCACTGTAATCATTGTTTGCGGCCCCTGAACTCTAAGCTAAGGTCTGGCGGCGTTATGATGGGCAGCGCGGCCCTCTTTAGCCTGCGGCGGGGTAAGCTCTTTTATGCCCGTGGCGCGGCAATAAGCACAATACTTGGTAGTGTTGTTCGGCTGGGGGAGGCTGCATGAAATTGCTTCCAGGATGAGCGGCAGCCGCCGTCCATGTCCATTGCATTCTCTTCGTTCGGGCGCTACTGGGAACACGGTAAAACATAGTGATACCAGAACAGCGAGCACACATCGGCCGTGATGCTCGTCGCCACGTGCGCTAGTGTCCCGGTCACACGTGTAGGTGACACTGAGACTTCAAGAACGTGTTACCCCATGATGCTGAGACACATCGGAATGGAGGTGTGTGCGCCGGATGCGACTTAATCCTCCGGCGTTCCCACGTAATGGTCCTCCTGCTGCTGCCTACAATACTCCTACTACTCCCCCGCCTTTCCATTCCAGCTCCACCTCACTATCCTCATCCTCCTCTTCCTCCTCCTCCGCTTCCTCCTCCTCATTCTCTTCCCCGCATCACGCCCCCGCCCACCTCTCCGCTCTCTCGTCCCACTCATGTTCCATCCTTTCCACATCCGTCTCATCTCCCAGAGGAGGAGGAACAAGAGGAGGAGAAGGAGGAGGATGAGGAGATGCCCTTCTAATGCAACAGCGATTCACACCACGCAGCAAGCGCGAGAATCCCTCCTTCTACTTCACAGGGCCCTCCACCACCACCCCACCTCTCGCGCTGACGATGGGCGGCGTAGAGGCCGAGGTGGCGAGCGAGCGAGGGATATCGTCGCCGTCGGGTCGTGATCGCCGCCGTCAGGTCGCAGAGTCGGAGCGGCGCGCGGCCGAGTTCTGCTTCGCGGTGAGCGTGCGGTCGACGTCGAATAGCTGCGGCCCCGCGGGGGCGCGGGCGAGGCGGCCATCGCTGGCCCCGCCCAAAAGAGAGGGGGCGGGGGGTGGGGAGGGCCGAGGGCGCGAAAGGGAAGGAAGGAGGGAGGCTTGCCCAGCTGAGCTGCCCAGAACCCGGCGGGGGCACACGCAGACCGCCTCTCGCCTCTGATGTTGCCTGCTGGCCCGCCTCAGCCCTCTCCTTTTTCCAGCGGGAAGGGATGGGGGGGGGCGAGGGCGGGGTGACACGGGGTAACAGGGGAGGGTAAGAGGGAGGATGGCTGTTTCATCCCGTGCGTGGTGACTGCAGTGCAATCGGCTGGCAACGAAACGCTAACCACTGACCCGTGTGGCAATCGACCAGCTAGCGAGTGTAACAGCATCTTCGCCGCACCTGAGATGCATATCATTGAGGTTGCGCCTCCGCATGTGCCGCTCCCAAGCCCAGCAGGCATGCTGGTGGGGTACATGGAGCACCGTTCGCAAAACAGCAGAACCTCGCCCACAGGAGCTCCAGGCCTGGCTGAGAGCCCGCACCAGTCAACATCATGCGAGTACAAGTGGGCCTCGACACGCACAAGACTGGAGGGCCTGTCTTCGAGTCGGCAGTCCTTGCGATCGAGGGCGGCCAGCCTCGCCGCCTTGCATATGAGGCAGCGCACACACTGCCAGCGGTTCGTGCCGACCACAGCAAATTCGTGGGCGATTTCGGCGGCCGCAACCCGACAGGGCGGCGGCCGGCGCAGCTCAGTTCATCCTTGCTTGGGCGAAGGGCCAGAGCACAGCACGCGGGCGACCCCAATCAGATACGTCCTGACCTTCGCCAACTGATGTTCGAGGCCTGCGGCGAGGGTGGCCGATGCGCCGTGGAGGCGCGCTCCCTGCTTGACGGCCTTGTCGGGCTGGTCGTTGAGCCAAGCAGCCCACTCGCTGTCGGTGGTGGGCTGCTCAACGACGCGCACGTGCGACTTTTGCTTGACGAGCCCCGCAAAGGCCCCATCCTGCCGAGGGAGGGCCCCCCAGAAGCCCACGATAGGGCCCGAGGGCTTGCCCGCTTGGGCCACCCCCTGCTGGGCCGCTTCCAGAACCGAAGAGCAGCCCTTTCTGTACGTGCAGGTCCCGTCTGAGACCTCGGCAGCTGTGAAAAAAACACGGGTGGTCGGCACACACGGCGGACTGCGGCATCCCGACAGGGATCGAGCCGACTATCTTGGGAAGCTCCTGTTGCTCCGCATCCCATTGCGCGATTCCCCAGCCCGCCCGCGCAAGGGAGGTCAGGGGGGAGGTGGAGAAAGACCAGTCCCCCGCGATGGCCACACCCGACAGGAACGAGAAACTGCGCACTGGCACATCGCGCTCGCCAAGGAAAGTTCGCATGCTCCCGCGGGGCGGGTCTTGAGAAAAGGCAGGCGCGCACGGTAGGCAACTGGTCAGCAGCAGGCCGTCACCAAGCGTGCGGCCCGCCGAGAGGGCCTCTGCCCACCCTTCGGCGGCTCGCCCTGCGGCGACCAGCGAGCACGTGTGTACACGGCGCTCGGTGGTGTCTGGCACACCGCAGCTCGCGCAGAGGTCATCGTGCAAGTACCCGAAGTCCCGCACGCGCACTCCCGTCAAGTACGTCCCGCACAGCAACGAGACGATCACGTGCCGCTCGAGGGGCGAGACCTCGCGGCGCTGGAGGATCTGCTGGACGCGCCCCCACCAGATGCCACCGAACGAGTCGTCAAGCCCGAACCGCCTCCTTTTCGGCGTCGTCGGCGCGCCTCTGGGTCTCCAGCATCACGTCCTGCTTGAAGACCCTCGCCACGCGGCACGGGGAGAGCTCCAGCACGCTGGTGTCGGGCGCGTTCGGGAGGGGGGGGGGGGGGGGCGGGGTAGAAGGGGGGGTGCGCGCTGGGTACGCTCACGCCATATCTGACAGTTACACCTTAACCCTATACTCAGAGCCAGTCTGGGGAAGAGGTTGGAAACCCTTGATGGGGGGCAGGCGGAGCAGAGCCCGAGAGGGCTGGCAGAAGTACTGCAACAACAACTGATCGATGCTGACATGACGATACTGCACCAAGAAAAAGAAAGCAGCTCGAGCTGGCTGCATGAGCACAGCTTCAGACCGAGGCCAGCTTCCTGAGCCTACGACCTAGGTCACAAACCACAAAACTTGTTCGACCCATTCCCAAAGGGAGGGCGCGGTGGGGCCGACTTGAGCCCAGAGGGGCAGAGGGGGGCGGAGGGGGAAAGGGCGGCTAACAGACTACGACGGGTATTGCAAAATAAATTTCAAGAACAACTATTTACACCTTAACCCTATACTCAGAGCCAGTCTGGGGGGAGGGGCTGAAAACCCCTGAGGGGGGCAGGCGGAGCAGAGCCCGAGAGGGCTGGCAGAAGCACTGCAACAACAACTGATCGATGCTGACATGACGATATTGCACCAGGGCGCGGGCCGAGGGGCATCCAACCCCAGAATTCTTCAAGAAAAAGAACGCAGCTCGAGCTCGCTGCATGAGCACAGCTTCAGACCGAGGCCAGCTTCCTGAGCCTACGACCCAGGTCACAAACCACAACTTTTTCTACCCCTCCCAGCCGGCCCGGCCGGGCCACTGGCCAAAGGCCTTCAAGAGAAAAGCTGCCGAGCACGGGCGACAAGGGCGGGCGGGGGGGCGAGGCAGAGAAACATTAACTTGCCTTGTTCAAAACCTCACGCCCCCCCCCCCCCCCCCCCCCCCGAAGGAACCCCTCGCCAGACTTGGCTCGATATTCATTAGATGGGGAGAGGGAGCTGGCCCACGTCGACCCATACATCACGACAGGCACCTCGCGGCCACGGGCGCTCGCGAGCGCCCCGACGATGCGCCTGCCCAACGGCGCCCCAGCGCCTGGCCCTCTCACGACGGCGTCGTGCACCGCCGGTCGTGGGCGGCGCCAGAACGCACAGCCCTGCTTGATCTGCATGCCGTCTAGCTCACTGAGCTTCTCCACCAGCGCGCGGCACTTGGTGTAGCGCTGGAGGCCTCCCTGCTGAGAAGGTAGTCGAGCCCCAGACGTACCGCCAAGGTCCCACGAGTCACCGCCGCCGTTCCAGCACCTGCAGTAGCGGCTGCACCGCCTTGGGCGTCGTCCTCATCCTGTGCGCCTGCTTGGTCTCGTCCGCTGCGCCGATGTCGACACCTCTGCTCGGGCCGTCCGCCATGTTCCACTGGCTGGGCACCCACCGGTAGTAGCCCCTGATGCCCAGCGCCAGCGCGATGCCACATGCCACTCGCGCCAGCCTCAGAAGCAACGTCGCCGATGAACGCCCCTTCTGCAGCACGCCCATGGAGACAATAGAGTCCGTCATGATCACCACTCGCTTGTGCCAGCATCTCGAAGGTCTCGCCAGATGCCGCAGCACGCTCACCACGCACCGCAACTCCAGCACATTGTTGTTTTCCTCCGTCTCCCAGCGTCCCCTGAAAAGCTCGCACCACCTCGACTCGTCGACCCAGGAGGCGCCGATGGGCATCACCTGCCCCCTGCTCCGCACCACCCGAGGTCGACCCCGTCGCAATCGCACCTGCGCCCCCTTTGGTACTTCGCTCCAGGCGTCGTCGAGCTGCTCTAACCTCGTGGCGTAGTGCTACAGAAAGACGTCCCCATAGTTGACGGCGACGCCCGAGGTCAGCGGGAACTCGTCCCACAGCCCATCGTTCTCCACGAGCCTCGTCAGGCTGGTCAGCACCACCAGCTCGCCCACCTCCAGGGAGAAGACGCCCTCCGCCTCGGCAAGCCTGTCCCAGGGCGCCCACTCCAGCATGTTCAGCGCCACAGGCCCCAAGATAATGAAGCCGAGCCCCTCACGGACCGCGAGCCTGGCGACCTCGATGATCACCTGCGCGATGTAGTTGTCCTCGTCGACCTTGCGCTGCATACCCTCGATGACCCCTTCGTAACCCCAGGGCGCGCGTGAGTCCCTGTAGTAGTTGTCCGAAAAGGTGTCCAGGAACAAGGTGAGGTGGCAGATCCAATACCACCGCCCCCGCAGGCGGCTGAAAAGACGCTCTACCACCGCCACGTCCATCAACTCCCCCATTCGCACGTCCTCCATCCAAGCGCTCACCTGGTCCCCGAGGTCCCCCTTCAGGTCCAGCAGCCCTGCTGCAGCGTCAGTATACCAGGACGTCCTTCGTTCGGGTGCATCATCTCGTCCTCCTCCAGGCCCTTCTTGCTCACCTCGTCCTCTATCTCCGCGTGCGTCTCCCCTACTCGAATCTGCCACACCTGCTCGGCCCCACGGTCCAGCTCGCCCCTGATCTCCTCCACGCTTGACTTCGTCGCGACCGCTCCGAAGCCCTCGTCGCTCGCGTCGGTCATGTAGACTGTCGTGTGCCAGTCCAGCTCCAGGTCCGCCTCGAAAAAGATGGCCAGCGATGACAAGGCCTTCAACTCCTCCAACACGGGGACAGGGAGGCGCTGCGGCTTCTCGGCCTCCTCGTCCGCAAAAGCCCCGACCCATCGGTAGCAGGCGCCCAGGACCGCAAAGGCAGGCCGACAAACCAGCATCGCCCACGCCCGGCAGCCCACCACCGTGGCCAGCTCCCCGAGGTCGCACGGACCGAGTCACCGCAATTGCCTCGGCGCAGATGATCCGGTCCTTCATCTTCTCGGGGTAGACCTTCAACGTATAGGGCCGCCCAGATATGGCAAGCCCAAGCCCGCGCCGCAGTCCTTCCCCAGCCTCCTCCTTGTGCACGGCGAGCCCCTTCGCGTTCAGATAGCTCCGCACGTGGCCCTTTGTGACCTCGAGGTCCACGTCCTCCCCATCCTTCACCAGCTTCAAGCCGATGTAGTCGTCGATGTACAGTAAAAGGAGAAGCTCGGCCTTGGCGAAACGCGGACACGCCCTGGCCAAGGTGATCTGCTCCGTGACCAATCCCTCCATGGACTCGAAGCAGTCCACAAGTGCCGAGTGGGCCAAGAAGACCGCCCAGGCAGCCCCCACCACGGGCGCCACTGACCCCACG